ATGACCCACATGCCCTTCAGCAGGTGAACAGTTAAATAGACGGATGACCCACATGCCCTTCAGCAGGTGAATGGTTAAATAAACGGCAGTCCGTGCGGACCGTGGAGCCATCCTCCAGAGAAGAAGAGTGAGCGAGTATAAAAAGCAACAGTTTGCAGATGCTGAGTGAAGGAGCCGATCCCGGAAGCCCCTGTCCTGTGCGACCGCCTGCCTGTGGCTTGTTGAAGAGGGAGACTGAAGGACAGAGAAGAGATTGGCCGGGCAAGGGCTGGGGTGACAGTGGGGAGGCCTCGCTGGGTGTGTCTATAACAGAAGGAAGCAGGCACATCAGGACAGATGCTTCCCACCTCCGAAGGACGACAATGGAAGACCGTCAGCAGTCCTACATGCCTAGACTTGAGAACGTCAATGAGGTGGACCGATTCCCTGGGACGGAGAAGCAGCCCCCACCCTGGAGTAAGCAACTTGGATGGCGACAGAGCCGGCCCGTGTCTTTATTTTGGTGGGGGTTGTACAGAGGTGGGCACACGATAAGATTGCAGGGACGTGCACACACACACACACACACACACACACACAGGAGTGCATGCAAAGCGAGTGGACATGGGTGAGCACTGGCTGTGTGTTATACCAGTGTCAGCCCCTGGTTTACAGGTGCTCTGGCCAACCCGTGTATTTATTTGCAACAAATCGACCATGGCTTTGAAATAAAAATTAAAATGCGCGTGGCCAACAAGGTACACAATAGACACAGACGTGAACAGGAACCGCGGCATCCGCTGACCTCGTCTGTGGTTGGCTGGGCCCACCTGAGCACCCAGCCCTGGGCCCGCTTGGTGTTCCAGTGCCATTGTACTTCGAAACAGGTAGTGTTTTCTCTGTCGTGCTCACCACGGCGAAGGGCAGAGCCAGGCAGCATACTCAGAGGCCAGGGGCCAGTGGCTGCTAACAGCCAGTCGAACTGGTGGGGAAACAGGGGCTGGAAAGGGAGAAGCCGCACCCCGTAGGCCTCTGTCTTGCCGAAGCCCAAGCCTGTGACACCTGCCCTCGTGCCCCTGCCCTCGTTGGCCCCGCCAGCCAGCAGACAGAGGCAAGGGAACCACGTCATGATGCCTCTCTCTCTCTCTCTACCAGTAGCACACTTGCCTCCTTAATATGGGCTTGGGGCCTGCCGCGGGGGACGAAGCCCCCATTTAAACAAATCTTGATGGGCCTTCCCGTGATTGATCAGCTGGCGGGGAGAAGGAGTGGCCTTGCTCCTCCTCCATTCTGTGCCAGCCATATAGGGGCATTCCACCCACCACCATCCCCCCGTCCCCCAGACACACTTTGGTAACCCGTGCCTCCTCCCTTTTCCAGAGCTGAACCCATCACTCAACTCAGAGCCAGCAAGACATGAACCCCATGTCCCCTGCCCTAAGGCATCGTGTCTAACAGAAGACGCGGAGGGGTGAGTTGAAGACGGGGCTCTTGGCAGGGGATGGGGTGGACTTGGGAGGAGAAGACTGGGGTGGGGGGAGTAGAAATGAGGTGTCGGCTGAGCCACTACATGCACTGGTCAGGTTCAGCAAAGTCTCCACCTCCTTTCTGGACTTGCACAGGGAGCAGGCTGGGTGGGGAGGGGACCTGGGGCAGGAGGCGGGGTGGCTGCCCACAGGGGACAGGCTTCAGTTGTGGGGTTTGCTTGCATTCCAATACCAAGTTAGCAGCCCAATGCCGGAACCCACTGCACCACCAGGAGATGCTCCCCCCCCCCCAGGTGCTCTATGCGTGTGAGTAAGCTAGGACAGCCCTCTCCATGGGCCCCCGACACCCCACAGCCTTCCAGACCCCCCCCCCACCAGGTCTGTCAGCCCTGTCCACAGATGAGAAGACTGAGCCCCTAAAGAGGTCACTTCCCAAGTGGGAGGGTACAAAGCTGGCATGTGGATCCAAGATGCCAGCCCTGCGAATAGGCTGGCTTCCCCGTGCCCTGCACGGCCTGTGGGCAGGGCAGTGAGTGACACTGGCAGGCCTCCGGCTCCTCCACCTGCAGACACACCAGGCGTCCCACTTCACCCAAGTTCTGCTTCTGGCCCAAGCACTTTGGGTCTCACCTGACTGTTTCCCGACACATTACGTAATTGCTCATATTTATTTAATGCCGTCTCTTGAATATTAAATGGTCGATGTACGGAGCAGCGATGCGGGTGTTGAAACCCGGGCACTTTCGACAGGCGTGGGTGTGGCGGGGTTGCAGAGCACCGTCTAGGAGCCGTCACAGGACGGGGGACCATCGCCCTCTCCCCTGCATGGGGTGGGCTGGAAGGTGCCCATGCCCTCGCTGGCAGCCGCGGCGTGGAACTGTCACCCCAGGGCCCAACCTCCTGGTTACGTAACCACAAGGACACATCACCATTCCCCTAAAGGATGCTGGGAGCCAGGCTGGGCCACTCTCCTCCGGTCTGCCCATGTGGGGCAGTCTTCTGTGCCGGCCATCACTGTGGGGCTTCCATTTGCACTCTAACGAGTGACCCATGGGCCCCCTGTG